GATGGCTAAACTTCGTCTCTCATACTTTGGACATATTGTCAGGAGGGAACAGTCGCTGGAGAAGGATGTCATGCTTGGTAAGATGGAGGGTCAGAGAACAAGAGGAAGACCCCCAAAGAGATGGATTGTCCAGGTGGCAGCATTGATGGACTCAAGTGTGGCAGCAGTAGTGAGGTTGGCCCAGGATCGGACATTGTTTCATTCTGCTGTGTATGGGGTCACTGTGAGTTGGTTCCGACTCAATGGCACCTGACAACAACAAACAAAAAGAGATGATGGAAAAGCTCCATATCATCAGTCAAAACAAGACCAGGGGCAGACTGTTGAACAGACCATCATTTGCTCATATGCAAATTCAAACTGAAGCTGAAGAAAATGAAAACATGTCCACAAGAGCCAAAATATGACCTTGAATATATCACACCGGAATTTAGAGATCATCTGAATGACAGATTTGATACATTAAACAGTAATTGTATTGCTTTCATTAATTCACTTGTTCCCTTTGGAAATGAATGCTGAGTTCCTTCCTGCTCTTACTGACTTGTTTTTTTCTTTCTGATTCTTGGGATACTATTAACAACAAATGAAATAGAAAGGAATTACAACGTTTGAAGATTTGTGAATTTCCTAGTATAATTTATACCTACCCAGATTTTTGGTTAGTTTTCCAAAGAGGAATTATAAAATAAAATACTGAGCTTTTCATCTTGTCTTGCTATACAAAATATTCAAATAAATCTGATGTCACTCAACCACACGGTATGAAAAATGAACTTTATTTGCCCCCATTTGTAATTTCATGTGGAGAGCTGTGCTAAAATTACTTTTGAGACCATTCTCAGATTCTCCTCATTCACTTTTCTCCAATGGGAAGAATGGATTTGAGAGAAGAAATTGAATAAACTCAGCTTCTCTGGGCAACTTTCTTTGATCTGATAGGGTGTATATACATACTCATACGTACAATAAACTAAATTATTTATCTAGATTCTTCCCTTCTAAGAGGATAGCTTCCAGTTTGGGAAGTCAATTTAAGTAAGAATTTTACAAAGCTCGTTTTGGCCACATTGAGAAGTTGTAGGAGACCCTCTAACATCAATCTTAATACTGTATTCTCCAAACATTCTTTGCAGCATGCTTTAAAAGTATAGGTCAGGGGTGAGGAACATCAGGCCTTTGGGCCGTTTGTTTTTGTGAAGTGCCGTTGAGTCTGTTCTGACCCTGTATAGGGTTTCCGAGGAGCAGCTGGTGAGCTTGAACCACTGACCTTGCAGTTCAAACGGCTTTGCAGTCTGGCGCATTGACCCACAGTGCCATACCAGGACTCCACATTGGGCCATATAAGGCCCACAAATTTATTTGGTCTGGCCCTGCCAAGGCAACCACAGTTCCAGCCATCGGGGTGAATTAATTAAATGCTTGACCACGTATATCAAGCTAATTTTAAAGTTGATAATTTTGTATGGCTCTTGAATGATGTTATACATTTTGACAGAAAAAGGTTCCCTACCCCTTTAAATAGATTTTCACATTAATTTAGTGGTTCATTAACTAGCATTTAAAAAATAAAGAGGAATAGAATGCAGTGGAAAACATCAGAACAGAATGTATATATTAAGTATATTGTGAAAATTGTGTTTTCCTTATATGTGATAAATGTTATAATAGATTGTCTTTTTATGGGTTATAGTTCTATAGAGTTGGGAGAGGGGTACATAGATAGAGCCTTGCATTTCTGCTGACATGTGTTTATCATCTGTTTCTTTTTTATTCCTACTACTACATCTGTCATCATCTCTGGTGACAACAACAGGATCCATGTAGATGGTCCATCCAAACCCCTTTGACTTCTTGATCTTTAGTGACTTTTCTCCTGTCTTTGTCCTCTTCCATTGTTATACCCCATACTCTATCATTTCCAATAGATAAACCACATTCTCATTTTCAGGTTACTTATTCTCATAGCCACCTCCTATCTTTCAGGATCATTCCTTCTAGCCCTCTTCCCCTACCCCCATCATCAGTCCTTGACCCCACTAAAAACCTTAAATCCATCAACCCTCTCTTGTCCTCATAGATTTCGTGGTACATTGTTATATTCATTCCCTTGATTAAACTATTAGCTCTGTGTTTTTGCTTTTATTCTCCCTTGGCAAAATCTTACCCTGGTTAAATTGAACTCTTTTTGCTATATACCTCTTCCTGAGAAGTTGAAGATGGCCAATACAAAACACACAGCTATGTTAACTAGTCTCATTTTAAATTAAACAAACCTTAAATGGACTCTCAATATTGTCCATCAGTCATGCTACATTTAACTTACCAATTCACACTCTGATTTCCAAGAATAGGACCTTAAACTCTTTCTTTCTGAAAATGTTCAAACTTTTTCCCATCATTTTCAGTTCACTGAGAACCTCATAATCCCATCATCAAACCCACCAACCCACCTGTAATGTATCTACATACTTTGAATCCTGTTCATTAAAATAGATGAATAATTTGTGTTCCTTTTTGAGGCCAGTTTATTTCCTCTTACTGCTTTAAGAGGTTTGTCCTGAAATTATGCCCTCAATTTTTTCATCTCCTTTGTATCATTCCCATTAGTATATTTTTAAAAAGGTTGAAGCATAACCTGCATAAAAAAATAAATAATAAATAAAACCCACTCTTTATCCCACTCCTGCTTTTTTGTTTCTCTTGCAGCTAAACATCTTGAAAAAACATTTACAAGGGTACTTGAAAAATGTAATTAAAAGATAATGGGATTTTCCCACAAATATTCTGTGGGAAATTTTCTGAAGCCCATCTTGTATCTAGTCATGATTTAAGTTTTTTTCTCCTTCCATTCTTTCTTTAGCATGTTCCACTTTGGACATCCATGTTCACAACTTTATGAAAATTATTCTTTTCAAGTGTACAAGTTCAGTATTTGATTCTAATTCCTTATTCATTCTCAGTAAAGTGTAACACAGTGAACCACTCGTTCCTTCTCAGAACAGTCCATTGTTTTATTCTCTTGGACATCAGTGTATGTCTTCTGATTTTCTATTACTTTTCTAGCCCTTCCTTCTCAGTACTCTTCCCTGATTCCTCTTTCTATTGATCTGTGTTGGAATTTTCCAAGAACTGGTCCTAGAAATGTTTCTTTACTTTCACTCACTATCTAGATTATTATCCAGTACCATAACTTTAAATTTTGTCCCCATGCATATAGCTCCCAAATATGTATCTTCAGCCCAGAATGTTCTTCTAAACCCCCGCCACACTCTCATTCAGTTCCCTACATGACTTCTCCATTGATGTCTGTACCATATGTGCATAACTTTAACAAATAAATATATTCCCTAAACAGTTTTAAGAAGCTAGAAGTCTTGATTCAATGCCAGTAACTGCTTTCTTCTTCCTCTCAACTCTGGATGAAGATCCTTGTCATCAGTGTCCCTTTGGGTCTAAGAGGTTTTAAGTGCAGGGACCACAGATTCAAAGAACACATTCCACTGCTTGCTGGCTCTTCTTTCTTGGTGGTACTAGAGTCCCCTCTCTGCTCACTTCTCTCTTTTTATCTGTTTTTAAGATAAAAGGTACTGCAGACCAAACTTCAGGAAAATTCTCCTTATATCAAATCAGTGACTTGAGTAAAGATGTTGCATCCTATCCTAATCCCCTTACAAAATCCTTAATCTGTTTATAGTCCAGTCTCTACCTTGTAGACCTTAAAATATTAAATCATGCCATTCTTGTGCTCAAAATCATCCAGTCACTTTTTATGGAAAAAGAAAAAAAAAAGCAAGCTTTTACCATGCTTTACAAAACTCTATATAATATAGTCCTTCTTGTTGTTAAGTGGCATCCAGTCAATTCTAACTCATAGTGACCCTGTATATGATTTCCAAGGCTATAAATATTTTTCAGGAGCAGAAGGCCTCATTTTTCTCCCACATAGCAGCTGGTGAACTTGAACCATGTGTTTTACAGTCCAGTAATAACCTTTATAAGGAGCTCTGGTAGCATAGTGGTTACATTTACAAATCGGACTGCAAATCTCATGATCAGCAATCCGAAACTACCAGCTGTTCCACGGGAGAAAGAGGAGGCTTTCTGTTCCCATAAAGATTTACAGCCTCAGAAACACTGTAGAGGGTCGCTATAAGTAGGAACTGTCTCCACGGCACATCATAACAACAACAATACCCTTTATAGTTTACAGAAATTTGAAATCTACAAATTAGGTCTGTAATATAAAGGAGAAAAAGTGCTCTGACTTTTTAGGAAGAAAAACGATGATAAAATGTAACTGACTTTTTTTCCCCATGTTATGGGATCTTTCTTTCATGGAACTTGATGTTTCAGTGGATACTTTGAGACTATTGTTATTGTTAGGTGCCATCCAGTCGGTTCCAACTCATAGCAACATTATAGGGTTTCCGAAAAGCGGCTGGTGAGCTTGCAGTTCAGACCAGCCTCATAGTCCAGCACATTAACCTGCAGCACCACACCAGGACTCCAAAAAAATTTGTTCCCTCTGAAAACTGATTTAGAACAGTGATTTTCAGATTCTTGCTTGCTGGTTGTGTACCATGGAGTCAGTTCTGACTCATACAGTCTTCATATAGGATTTCCAAAGCTAAACTTTATGGGAGCAAAAAGCCTTATCTTTCTCCTACGCAACTGCTGGTAGTTTCAAACTGCTGACCTTGAGGTTAACAACATGACTCTAAATCACTATACTACCAGAGCATATGTATGATGATTGTTTTTCCAGTGATATTTTTCAAAAGAATGTTTGAAGTTGAAATATGATTGCTTTTGAATTGTAGCCTTTTGTCTTTTTCTCCCTTCATCTTTTCTGTTTAATTTTATATGTGAGTTTTCCTTTATTTGTATTTAAAATGGACTGTGATTCCTGTATAGATGGATGATAAAGAACCATTTGGGTTACTTAGGTGAGTTTTTATGTAAATTATATTTTACAATGTTTATGTTGCAAGTAATCCAAGAAATACATGTACTTTGTTTTGTTCTTGGCTAGGTAGTCCAGCTACAGGAATGGATGGTTAAAATCATCAATGATAACACTGCTATAATTGTAGAAGGAAAATTAATGTAAGTATAACATAAAAATTTTTAAATGAAACCTGTAGTAAAATTAAACAGTTGTTTGTAAGTACTTAAAAGATGCATGGGAAATAGCATTTCCCCACCAAGAGTTTCCAAATAATTTATTAACCGAAGTTAAAAAAGTAAAATGACAGTATGGCTCCTTACCATGTTGTTACCAACTTTCTCTGCATATTTGTTCAAGCTATTTTTAAAATACTGGCAACTCAAATTTGTTACCTGTTTAATCATATACAATCAGTTAATATTTGCCACATGGCTATCAGTCTAAAGTATCCCATCTAACTTGGAGCAGAAAAGGAGTCAAAATTACTTGTAAATGTTATACACACCTACCTACATGTTGAAGGATCATTAGTACTTTCTAAGTCTCCCTAAAGCTAGAGCATCATCTGCTAAATAGATCTTGTCTCTGTCTGCTGTTTCATTAAGCACTGATTTCTACTTTTCAAAACCAATTTTCTTAATGGTAAAAATTTTTAGAATAATTGTTAAGTGCTGGTGAGTAGGTTTCAACTCACAGCAACCCTATATAGGGTTTCCAAGGACCGGTTGGTGGATTTGAACTGTGAATCACAGTCCGATGCTAATCCTACAGCGCCAAAGCAGGAGTACAATTTGGAATAATAGGTTGTAACAAAATCATAGAGGATGTCATCATTCATCTGTCAGTTTGTCAAATTGTGGTGGCTTGTGTGTTGCTGTGATTCTGGAAGCTATGCCACTGATATTTAAAATACCAGCAAGGTCACCCATAGTGAACTTCCTGATGAAGGTCACCCATAGTGAACTTCCTGATGAAGTTCACTGAGCTTCCCGATGAAGGTAGACCTCCGGAAGAAGAAGAGACAGACTATGTCTGAATATTCAGTCACTGAAAACCTTATGAATAGCAGTGGAACTCTGTTAGGGAGGCCCAGAATATTGATTATTGAAACATGATGAAGAGGACCAGATTATTGTCAGATAATAGTGCCAGAAGACAAGCCCTCCAAGTTAGAAAGCACTCAAAATACGATTGCCCCCTTAAAGTAGAGTTGACCTTGATGATGTGAATGGAGTAAAGCTTTCAGGAGCTTCATTTGCTAATGAGGTACGACTCAAAATGGGGAGAAACAGCTATAAACATCCATTAAGAATCCGAAAATGCAATGTACAAAGTATGAATTACTCAAATGGAAATACTCAAAATGAAATCATAAACATCAATATCCTAGGCATTAGTGAGCTGAAATGGATTCGTATTAGCCGCTTTGAATCTAACAATTACACAGTTTGCTATGCTGGGAATGACAAATTGAAGAGAAAATGGTGTTGGAGTCATCAACAAAATGGACATTTTAAGATCTATAATGAATTACAATGCTGTCTGTGATATGATAATATTCATATGTCTACAAGGAAGACCAGTTAATACAACTGTTATTCAAATTTGTGTACCAACCACTAAAGCCAGTGGTGATGAAATTGAAAAAGTTTACTGACTTCTTCGATCTGAAAGTGATCAAACATGCAATCAAGATACATTGCTAATTACAGACGATTAGAATGCAAATGTTGGAAACAAAGAAGAAAATATGACCTTGGTATAGAAATGATACTAAAGATCACATAATAGAATTTTGCCAAGCCACTGACTTCGTCATTGAAAATACCTGTTTAAACAACATAAGACACACATGGACCTAACCAGATGGTATGATATAATAAAGATGTGATCAAGAGCCAACGGTACTGAAGGAAGAAGTCCCAGGGGCACTGAAGGCATTGGCAAAGAACAAGACTCCAGGAGTGAATGGAATACAAATTAAAATCTTTCAATAAATTGATGCAGTACTGGAGTCACTCATCTATGCCAAGAAATTTGGAAGACAGCTACCTTGCCACCTGGTTGGAAGAAATCCATATTTGTGCCATTTCAAAGAAGTGACCCAACAGAATGTGGAAATCATTGGACAATGTCGTTAGTATCACGTGCAAGTAAAATTTTGCTAAAGATAATTCAAAAATGGATGAAACAGTACATTGACAGGGGACCTGCAAGAAGTTCAAGCCTGATTCCGACGAGGACGGATACCATTACTGACATTAGAAGGACATTTGCTGAAAGCAGAAAGTACCAAAAAGATATTTACCTGTAATTTATTGATTACAAAAAGGCTTTTGATTGTGTGGATCATGACAAGCTATGGATAACATTCCAGAACAAGGGAACACTGAATGGTTTAAAATTAGGAAAGGTGTGCATCAGGGTTGTATTCTTACACCATACGTATTCAATCTGTATGCTGAGCAAGTAATCCAAGAAGCCGAATTATATGAAGAAGAATGTGGCATCAGGATTAGAGGAATACACATTAACAACCTGAGATACGCAGATGATGCAGTCTTGCTTGTTGATAGTGTAGAGGACTTAAAATACTTACTGATGAAGATCAAAGACCGCAGACTCCAGTATGGATTGCACTTCAATGTGAAAAGAAAACAAAAAGCTTAACCAGTGGACCAAAAGGCAACATAGATTACCTTTGTTCGTTTCCCATCGCTGCTGCTCACTACAAGTCATTTATTCTCCTTCAGTCTCAATTTCATCATCTTTACAATGGTGATAATAAGATTACCTACCTTGTGGGTTTTCAGGATTAAATGAGTCAATATTTGTAAGACTAAGAACAGTGATTTTAGAGTGATATATAAATGTTTGGACTCCTGGCATGGTGCTTGCTGTAGGATAAGCAATGGACCACAGAGTCAGCTAGAACCACAAGGTTGGCAGTTCAAACTCACAAGCTGCTCCTTGGAAACTATGGGGGGGTGGTCATTATAAGTCAGAACTGACTCTACAGCACTTAACAAAAACAAAATATAAATGTTAATTAAGTAAAGCAGACAACATAAAAAGAATGGAAGAGAAGAAATGTACTAAAGTATAATATATTTGTTTAATGTATATGTTTTTAATGCATTTAGCTCTAGTAAACCAAATTAAAAGAATTTCAAAGTAGCTTTCTTAATTATGCAAGTTCTTAGAAGTCTTATTATTTTACTTGTCTCGTGAATGGAGTCTTGGTTGGCACTGTGGAATCATGCACTGGACTGCAAGGTCAGTTTGAACTGCAAGGTCAGGAGTTCAAATTCACCAGTCTCTCTTCAGAAACTATACATACAAGGTTGCTATGAGTTGGATCTAACTCAGAAGCACTTACCAACAACAGCATCTCATGAATGAGAATCGTACATTTAATATATCTTTACATTTTGTTTTTTATGTTTATTCTCACTTCATTTGAAGAAATACAAAGATTAGATTTATGGATCTGTGTTTTGACACTGCTGCTGGGGTTTTGTTTGTTTGTTTGTTTGTTTTTTCCTACTTGGACCCTTTTTGTTGCTTCTTCAGATGGAAGCTAAAAACAATTAGCTGAATGTTGTTTTTGTTGTGCCTTTGAGTAATTTCTGACTCATAGTGACCCTCTATAGGGTTTCTGGGAGTCCTGGTGTGGCACTGTAGGGTAAGTGTAGGAACTGCAAGATCAGTTTGAATCGCAAGGTAAATGGTTCAAAGTCACAGCCACTCCTTGGAAATCCTATACTGAGTTGCTGAGTCAGAACCAACTAGACGGTGCTTAACAATGTTAGGGTTTCCAAAGAGTGACTAGGTTTGAAACACTGACCTTGCAGTTAGCAATCCAGTGCTTAGTCTACTGCTCCACAGTAGGACTCCTTTAGCTGAATAGTAAGTGCAAAAAAACACAAAGTTAAATGGATCCGAACTACCTAATTGCATAGTAATAGTATAGTTTCTTCAGACATGAGTTATCACTCATTTTGAATTTTGCTGTATAGTCTTTGGCCCTAAAAGATCCCAGAATTGTTTGTTAGCTTAGCTAGAATGCAAACTTATGGTTTTCTATTTTAAATTTGTGTACTTATATATGTATGTTATAACTTCTTGTAAAATGTGAGTGTTTTGACCTTAACTTACTGTTTTGTTTCCTAGAGATTTCACTGATATATATTGGCATAGCAATATAATTATAGAACGTATTGACTACAACAAACTTAGGACTTTGTCGGGCAATATTTATATTTTAAAAGGAATGATAGACCAGATTTCCATGAAAGAAGCAGGTAATGACTGCCATTATTAATTGATAATGGTTTTTGTGTTTTTGATAATGCTTTCTAATAAGTAAAGCAGTTAACCGTGTTTCTAAGAATATATTTATACTTTACTTTTTCATTAAGAATTTTTAAATTATGAATCAATCAAAAATAGCAGACAGAACTGAGCACATTATATAAAGCTATGATCATTTTTCTCTGGTTTAATTATTACTATTGGTGGTTTGGGAGCCCTGGCAGTGCAGTGGTTAAATAAATACTTAGCTGATAACCAAACAGGTTAACAGCTTTAAGAATCCACAAGCTGCTCCAGGTAAGAAAGATGTGGCAGTTTGCTTCCATAAAGATTGTTGTTAAGTGCCGTCAAGTTGGTTCTGAACCATAGTGACCCTGTATAGGGTTTCTAGGGAGCAGCTGTGAGTTTGAACTTTCAACCTTGCAGTTTAAACTGACTTTGTGTCCAGCGCATTAACCTGCAGCGCCACACCAGTATTACAGCCTTGGAAACCCATTGGGGTAGTTCTTTGTGATATGGAGTTGCTATGAGTCAGAATTGACTTGACAACAGGTTATTTTTTGTTGTTGTTGATAGTTAAATTGTTTTTGTTCGTAGTTACATACTCCTTATTTATTTCATTTAATTAAGAATTAGTATTTCATAGTAATTGCATAAATGAGTATTTTACTAGAAAACTTTTATAATCACAGAAGTTAGAAAGTATTTTGGAAGACCAATGATCTAGTCATTGAAAATACTTTTTAACAACAACATAAATTGCCACTAGACACATTTATCTTACCAGATGGAATACACAGGAATCAAATCAACTATATCTTGGAAAGATGATTGAGAACCTCAATTTCATCTGTCAGAATAAGGCCAGGGGCTGACTCCAAAACAGACTATAAATTGCTCATGTGCAAGTTCAAATTGAAGCTAAAGAAAATCAAAACAACTTCATGAGAGCCAAAATAGAACCTTGAGTATATCCCACCTATATACAGACCTTCTCAGGAATAGATTTGACATGCTGAACATTAGTGACTGAAGACCAGATGAATTGGATGGCATCATGGACATCGTGGAGGAAAAACGTGAAATGTCAGTAAAAGACAGGAAAAAAAGAAGAAAAGAACAAAATGGATATCCGAAAAGACTGAAACTTTCCCTTGAACAACGAGTAGCAAAAGCAAAATGAACAAATGATAAAGTAAAAGAGGTGAACAGAAGATTTCAGAGGGCGACTCAAGAAGACAAAGTATAATGAAAGACGAAGCCAAGAGCTAGGAGTTAGAAAACGTAAAGGAAGAACTTGTTCAACATTTCTCAGCCTGAAATACCTGAAGAAGTTCAAGTTTCAAGTTGCAGTATTGAAGGGCAAGTCAAAAGTTTTACTAGTAGGGTTCCAGTTCATATATGAACTGTGTATTCCAAGTAAAACGTGTTTGAACATGTCCCTGTGGTCAGTGAATGGCTGCAGATAAATTCTCCTAGTAATATACTTGGCCATAGTCTTGTTAGAGTGCCTTCAAAAACATGATCCAATCAACAGTGACTTCCAAAGGGATCCAATGGGCTAGTTAAATTCAAGGAACAGAGGTCAACTCAGAAGGTCATAGTGACTGCTTTTTGGGATTCTGATTGAGGAAGCTCATTAGAAGAAGTTTTTAAGAAAATTGAAAACTGTTGGTGAGAAGGCCAAGAACATTACACTGTGATTATTTTTCCAACATGACAATGCACCTGCTTTTTGTTAAGGGTAGCAAGGGCTGTCTTACTAGCATTTTGTTGGGAAATCTTACCTCATCCACTATACTGTCCCGACCTTCAGACTTCTTTTAGTTCCCAACTTCAAAGAACATTTAAAACAAACAACTTGAGTTCCCTGTTTTGAGGTAGTGTTAATGGAAGAGTGCAGAATTCTTCATGGAAGGGTTGGAGAGATGGAAACACTGCCTTCAGAAGTGTACAGACCTTGGAGGTAGATATGCTGAAAACAATAACTTCACATTTTGATATGTTTGTTTAATAAAGGTTTCTGTGATTTGGAGCAATACTTTTTGACTTGCCCTGTTGTTGGTGTGCCATTGAGTTGATTCCAACTCACTGCAACAGAGTTTCCGAGAGCAGCTGAGCCACCAGTCTTGCAGTTTGCAGTCCAGTGCTTATCCTGTAGTGCCACACCAGGACTCCCAACTAGTATGGGCAAAATCTTGAGTGACACAGGAAGCATCAAAAGTATATGGAAGGAATACACAGAATCACTATACCAAAATATACTGGTCAACATTCAGCCATTTCAGAAGATGGAATATAATTAAGAAATGATAATGAAGGAAGAAGACCAGACTACACTGAAGACATTGGTGGGAAAAAAATTCCAGGAAACGATAGAATACCAACTAACATGTTTCAGCAAATGGATGCAATGCTTTAAATGGTTATTCTTATATGCCAAATTATCTGGCAGAATGCTGCTTGGTAAACCAATTTAGATCCATATTTGTGCCCATTCCAAATAAAATAGAATGCAGAAATTATCGAACAGTATCATTAAAATCAAACTCCAGTAAAATTTTCTGAAGATAATTCAAAAAGCGTTGCAGCAGTACATAGAATGGGAACTGCCCGAAATTCAAGCCAGATTCAGTGATTCTTGGCTAAACAGAAAATGTTAGAAAGGTGTTTACCTTTGTTCTGTTGCTATGTAAAGGCATTCAACTGTGTGGATTATAGCAAAATATGGGTAACATTGTAAAAAAACGGGAATTCCAAAACACTTAATTGTGCTCCTGCGGAACCTGTGCAATAGACCAAGTCATTTGAACAAAACAAGGAGATACTGTGTGATTTTAAATCAGGGAAGATGTGTGTCAGTGTTGTATCCTTTTCACCAGAGTTTTTCAGTCTATATACTGAGCAAATAATCCAAGAAACTGAACTACATGAAGAACATAGCATGAGAAGTAGACGAAGACTCATTAACAACTTGTCACATGCAGTTGATAGCAACCTTTCTTGCTGAAAGTGAAGAGGATTGAAGCACTTACTGATGAAGATCAAACGCTATATTGTCTTCAGTTAGATTACAACTCAGTGTAAAAAAAAAAAATCACATCAGGGCCGATAAGCAACATTATGATAAACAGAGAAAGTTTATCAGGATTTTATTTTACTTGGATCCACAATCATCACCTCTTGAAGCAGTAGTTGAGATCAAATGACATAACTGCATTGGGCAAATCTAAAGATTAAGGTGTGCCTGACCCAAGACAAGGGATTTTCAGTTGCCTCCTATGCATGTGAATACTGGACAGTGAATAAGGAAGACTGAAGAAAACATATGCTTTTGAATTATGGTGTTTCATTGTTTAATGTTCCTAATGTTCCATCTGCTTCCAATATTCTGACCCCCAATTGCCACATAATTTACGCTTTCATGTCCTTCAGTGATTAGCTCAAGTGTCTGTGCTTGAGGAAATCCTCACTAACCATCCGTTTTTATATTATTGACTGTTGAATCATTGTTATCTACGATGGTAGCTATCACATAGTAAAAAGTACATATGTGATTTAATGAATTAATGGTATCTCTTTAGAAGATATATCTAATATCTTTACATGTGTTTGTTCACTGTTAAACAGGATATCCAAGCTATCTCATAAGGAAGTTTATGTATGGATTTCCAAAAAACTGGAAAGAGCACATTGATAATTTCCTAGAACAATTAAGGTAAAGTATCTTTTAACTATATTGTATAATTTACATTTAAAAAAAAAAAAAACATGCATTTTAGGTGTATAATTCAGTGACCTTTTTGCATATATATGTTATAAAAGGAGGCTTCAGAAAATTCTTGAAAAACTGGAATTAAAAGAATGGCATTTTCCCAAAAATTTTTTGAAGCACTCTCATATAACCAATGGAAAAAAAATTCCACTGTCATCAAGTTGATTCCAACTCAGAGTGACCTTTACAGGGTTTCTGAGGCTGTAAATCTTTAAGGGAGCAGAAAGTCTCGTTTTTCTCCTGCAGATTGGCTGGAGAATTTGAATTGCCAACTTTGTAGTTAGTTAGCAGTTCCGTGTGTAAGTGGTTTTGATTTTTGTTTTAGAAGCCCAATTTTGAAGTGGTTTGACCATAAAAGATTTTCAGAAAGCAGTAACATTTTATTAGAAATTTTGTCATATAGAATAAATCTAAAAAGAAAATAAAACTTTTTACATATTTCAGGTGACCCTTAGTCATCTGCCCTTCAGTAGACATGAAGATGTTAAACACTAAAGTTTTTGGGTATTTTATTCGTTAATTAAGTAGTTAATTAAGTCAGCTACTTGATAGACACTATAGTTGAAATTAGGTAAAGAAATTATTGATTATTGCTTTGAGGATTTTGTAGGGGATACAGAAAAGTAACTTAGTTAATCACAGTACAGTGTAATAGTTTATAAACAGATGTTGACAAGTTGGTTTTTTTATGTGACTAGATGGTAAATATTTTTATCTATAAATATTATACTGCTGCTGTTGCTACTACTCAGTTCTGCCTTTGTAGTGGAAAAGCAGCCATAGACGATGAGGATGGTGGGTTCCAATGAAACTATAGATAAAAAGAGAATTTATCCCATCATTTTTTGACCGCTGACCTATAAATACCAGCTTAAGTAGCAATTACAAGAGCACAGAGAAGAAAGTATTTAAGGGATTGTGTTTGTGTTGTTTGACATAAGACTTTATAGTTTAAGTATTTTAATGAGACAGGGTGGGATTGGGTGGCCATAAAGGTTTAAATAATATAAGATTAGAAGTAATCATTGCTGGTGAAGGGGAGCATTATCCCAGGGAGCTTCATTTGTTTATTTGTGACTTTAGTTTTGGGGTGTTTTCTATTTGTATGTGTTTTGTTTTGTTCTTGAGAACCAATTATAGAGGAAAAATACTATAATTATTTTTAGAGCTGAAAAGAAAGGAAAAAAGGCCAGACAAAAACAGAAAACTGGAGCATCTGTCCGTGATATACCCAAATCACTGAAACCTGGTGCAGGAGATCAAGCAGATGGCCTACAAAAAGCCAGCACCACTTATAACCTTGATTATGATAACTTGGGTATGTTTGTCCTTCTCTTTTCATATAGTAGGAACTTCTTGCATGTCATCTACTTCTTTATATAATGTATGAGAAAAAACTATTGTGTTCTTTGACTTCTACTAGCCTAAAATTCCTGTTTTAATAAGGAAAACTTACAGTGCAGACTGCTCATAGTCAGTATTCAGCTTACTTCAGTAAATACCATCTTTCGATTAATCAAAATTTCAAAGAGTAGTGATATGTACATCATTGAAATATGATTTTTTTTTTCTGTTTCCTAGACCAATGGCATTTAGGCTGCTAAAGTGAAAATTAACTTAACATTTCTCCAGTTCCTTCTCAATCCTTCCTCATTTTCTCAGAAGCAGTTCTATTGACTTTAAATTAGACATATTGCTTATTGTCATTGTTAGACCATCCTGTAACTGTGTGGCACTATAGGATAAGCACTGGACTGCTAAGCACAAGATTTGTGGTTCGAACCCATCAGCTGCTCCTTAGAAACCCTATGCAGGGCTTCTCTATGAGTCGGAACCAACTCAGCAGCACTTAACAACAACAGACCAATGTGCTACAGCACCTGCTGTTTATTTTTTTACTTCTAAATGAAATAATCTCTAAAAGTATGTCTCACTTTCAGTCGTTTGTTTATCTTTACTCCTATATCTTATCATTTCTTTGTGTTCCTCTTTACATTGTTGTTGTTGTTCATTGCTGTCTAGTTGTTTCTGACCCATAGAGACCCTATACAAGGTTGCCAAGGGGCGCCTAGTGAACTTGAGCCACCGACCTTGCGGTTCAGACTGGTTTTGTTAACCCACAACACCACACCAGGACTCCTTCCACTTTTACTTTAGAGTAGCACTTTTCAGGAATTTAAGCTTAATTATGAATGCTATTGGTTAAGTGAGAAGACATATGGCAAGTGGGGTAGAATACAGACTTAAAAAACTAAAGTTTGGGAAACTATTTTACATGCCAATTGTTATCCACAGGAAACCCCTCCTATAAATTTAAAGCACCTTCCATGATAGGTGATAGCATTTGTGGTGTTGTTGCAAAGTACCTTTAAGTAGGTTCCAACTCAGTAGTGACCCTGTAGAAGGTTTCTGAGGAGCAGCTGGTGAGTTTGAACCACCGACTTTGTGGTTCACAGTCCAATGTTGATATAGTGCCATAGATGTGATGTCTTCCTTTGCAAATTTGAAGAATAACTTCAAATTTAAATTTGAAGTTATTACTATATTCTTATTTGGTTTTTTTATGTTTTTCTAGTCTGACTCATTAGATCCTTTTGTGAAATCGTTAGACACTGAATAGCTTCTTATGCGTTAAGTTATTTTGAGTGGTGATGGTTGTAGATACTATTATCATTACACGTTGCAAGAGAAAATAACTATAAAATAGCACAAAATCATACCTAGTATTAAACTACTAAGGTTATGCAAAGTGCCAGCCCATGATAATTTGCTATCATCGTTTGTGTGTTTTAATGATTTACATAAAATGTACTTTTCCCACTAGAATTACAATCTGCATATCATACTATTGCTCCTACAGTGTTTTATTTTTCTGAGATTCCATTTCACAGAATTTTTATAAATGATCTACTATAGTACTCCTTTGCTATATTGTGATGGACTCCTGGTATGCCACTGTAGGATAAGCATTGACCCCAACCACAAAGTTGGCAGTTCAAACCTACTCCTTGGAAACACTTTGCAGGGTCACTGTGAGTTAGAACTGACTCGAAGACACTTAACAACAACAACAACATACTGTGATATTCTGAAGAGTAAGGACCATCCATTCTTCAATTACAGTTTTTAGAAAAATGACAATTTTACAGTTATGATGAGTTCTTTGAATTATTTTTTTCTTTTTTAAGCTTTTTATTGTGAATTGCATGAAGGTTTACAGAGCACATCATCAGTTTTACAGTCAACAAATCATATATTTTGCTTCACTATATGGTTGCAGTCCCCTTCATGTACCAACAGTGAACAGTATTTGCCTCTATTCACTTTAACTCTAGCATTCTTCCGTGTGTCTCCCATTGCCTTCATGTTTTTTCTGCTAATCGCCTCTTGTTGTATATTACCAACTCTGTCACCTATGTTAACATGTGTCTACCTACTGGCCTACAAATAATTTTTCCTCTCCCCTCCCCAGAACCATCATAGATTGTTACTTTTATCAAGAAAGCCTTTTTTTTTTTTTCAACTTGCCTCATACAATGTTTGTGTGAATGTAATTGATAGTTGCATTCAGCATAATGTCCACCAGGTTCAACCTTGTTGTTAGTTGTTTTGTAGATTCAATGTTATTCTTCAGTGTTTTGTAGTATTCCATTGCGGGTAATGTACCAAAGTTTGTTTGATCATTCTGGCTTCATCTTTTTGATATATGTCATTATCAGTAGGTCTGAACTGATTGTCGTCAGTTTTCTGTGTGTTTTTTTGTGGTGCAGATATATTCTTTGTTGTACATAATTTTCTATTGTGAGTTCATTTTGTTTGTGAGTTTTCTTGTTATTTTCATTTTTGTGATTTTTAATGTTTGCTTAAAGGAGCTCTGATAGCGTAGTGGTTATGAATCGGGCTGCTAACCTAAAGGTTGGCAGTTCAAAACTACCAGCGGTTCCACAGGAGAAAGATGAGGCATTCTGCTCCCCTAAAGATTTACAGCCTCAGAAACCTTATGCAGGGTCACTATGAGTCGGAACCGACTCCATGGTACTTAACAACAACGTTTACTCAAAGGAGCTCTGGTAGCGTAGAGATTATGAATTGGGCTGCGAACCTCAGGGTCAGCAATTCGAAACTACCAGCTGTTCCGTGGGAGAAAGATGAGGCGTTCTGCTCCCATAAAGATTTATAGCCTCAGAAACCCTGTACAGGGTCGCTATGAGTCAGAACCGACTCCATGGCACATAACAACAATGTTTAATCTTTCTAATTTTCCTCTTTGTTTTATTTTAATGTACAGGTGTTTTTTTGTTTGTTTTTGCATTAACCCTATAATTTATTACTTTTTCCTCTGTTTAAAACAGTCTGTTTTATCTTGAAATCTACTTGACTCCCATGTCATTTGGAAGTTCTGTATCTGCACTATTCCCTCTTTTTGTTTTGTAGTTGACTTCATTATACTTTGCTATCTCTGGTTCCCTATTTCCAGTCTTGTTGGTTTGCTTTACTCTAAAGGCTTCTGTGTTTAGATTGAGCCTTGGGTAGTGTTGCCATATGAGGGACAGCTTTGATTCTTGGTTGGTACCTTTTTTCTTTCAGAATGTCATATATGTCACGCCATTGCCTAGCCTGCGTGTTTTCTGTTGAGAAATCAGAGCTTACTCTTAACTGGCTATCCTTTGTAGGTAAAATTTCATTTTTCTTGAGCTGCTTTCAGGATTCTTTCTTTCGTCTTTTATTTTGGAATGTTTGATTATGATATGTCTTGATGATTTTCTTTTGGGATATACTTTGGAGTGTTCATTCAGCTTCTTGCATGCTAACCTTCTTATCTTTCATGAGTTTAGAGAAGTTTTCTTCCAACAAATCTTTGATAATTTTCTGTGTGCTTTTTTTTTTATTGTCTCTTACTATTCTGGGATTCTGATCACCTGTAAATTGTTCATCTTCATGATGTCCCACATAAGTCCTAGGCTTTCTTTGGATTATTTCAATAGTTTTTTGATTGTTCATCTGTCATGCACGTATTCAGAAATTTGTCTTCAGGCTCACTAATTCGAGCTCCCATTGTTTGTCATCTACTTCTTTGCCCTTTCAATGTTTATCCATTTCTGAGATCTTAGTATTAATCTTCTGGATTCCTAATTGCAGGTTTTGTATTGTTTCAAAATTTGCATTTATTTCGTGTGCCTGTTCCTATAGTGTTTTCCTGAATTCTTCTAAAGTTTTTTTGTGGTCTCCTAGTTTCCATAATCTTCCTATCAATCCTGTGAAAGTAACTAATCATTCTTTGGAATTCTTTTTCAATTGGTTACCTTCTCTTCCTCAGAAACATTTTCTGACTCTACATCTTGGTCATTTATCTGAGCCATTCTCTCTTGTTCCTTCATGTGAGCTACAATTGTGTGTTGTCTCTGGGGCATTACGGGGTTGTTGTATTTGTGGAAACAAACAGTACAGTTGTTAGAGCCAGAGAGGAGAAATCTTTGGGAGGCTATGTTTAGGACACTCATTTGGGAAGTAGTTTGTGGGGGCCTTTGATAGAGCTGGTTTCAGTGTGTGCTAGGGCCACAGGAAAAGCTGGGAGAGCTTGACTGGTTGCTGGTCTGATGGCTATGCAGGTTTTGTAGGTCTAGATCTAAGCCTACCTGAATCTAGGCAACCCCCCTCAGCCAGCCCCCACCTCACACTGGCGTGGTTGCCCAGCCACATGACTCCAAACTCCCAGAGAGGAGGGTCTGTGCTGGAGGTGGGTGAGAGTGGGAACTGGTAACACTTCTGGTCACCAGGGGAGCATGGTGAAAAGGAAAAAAAAAACACACCTTTACCGCCACCCTCTCCAATCTGCTCTGCCAGGCTTCTCTCTTGCCAAAGCTGCTTACAGTATAGTCAAGCCATGTCTGGCCAGCTGTTTACCAGTCTCCCTCTCTCACTTTCCCTGCTTATCCTCTCTTCCCAGTAATCACTCCGTCCAACTTTATAACCTTTCTTCTGAAGTTCAAGGTGCCAAAGTTTTCATCTTTGTGTTTTATTTTGTGTCTCGTATCTTTGTTGTAGAAGGAGCTCTGGTAGCATAGTGGTTACGAATCGGGCTGTGAACCTCAGGGTCAGCAGTTCGAAACTACCAGCTGTTTCATGGGAGACAGATGAGGCTTTCTGCTCCTGTAAAGGTATATAGCCTCGGAAACCCTGTACAGGGTCACTATGGGTCAGAACCGATTCCACGGCACATAACAACAACAACATCTTTGTTGTAGAGGGTCTAGTACATCTGCCTAGTCTGCCATCTTGCCAGAGTTCCTTGAGTTCTTTTTAATTTATCTAGAAATTCAACTCAATACCTGTTTATTGAGCACGTATTGTACACTAACACTACGTAATTTGGTTTTGTACATTAATTTTAATTAATTTGCCTATAATTATAGATAGAAATACAAACCAATTGAAGTATCAGAATTCCATATGTATGAAGATATGTGAGGGTAACAAAGCTAAAACTATCAGCTTTCTATTACTTGATGTGTAATTTAGGATGAACAAGTGTATGTATTTACAAAGTGTACTAACTTTACCTATCTTTAGATCTGACAGAGGAGATCCACAACAGATAGCTATGAATAATATTCTGTCCAGCTTTTCTTATTTTTTTTGGAAGATAATATGAGTGGGCTTCAAAATGTTTGTTCTATCTTTTAATTCCATTTTCCCATGAATTTTTTAAAACCTCTTGTTCAAGTCATTTGAACACAACCTGACCCTATGCAGAGTAATTCTGACCAAATGTAGTTGTTTTGTATCAAGATCAGTTTATAGCAAATATTTGTGAATTTGAATTAGACTGGTCATTTGAAAGCGAACTATTGATGTGGAAAAGCAATTTATCTTGTATACAGTAATCTGTGGAAATCTTCTTTGTGCTCATAGATTTGAAGAATAGTAAGTGCAGTATGTTTTCTTTCAGAAGCTACAAAATTAAACGTTTGCCATAGTAATCACCAAAATACACCACCATTAAAGCTCTCAGATGACCAAATAAGTAATACTATTCAGAATGGAAGGAGATGTGATTTATCTAACCAGGTAAGCTTTTACTGTACACTGTTTTATGTGTAGCAGGATTGTGGGATTCTACTGAAAAGGTTTGGGACTGAATCAGAAGATTTAGCTTTACATTAGCTTTGGGATTGTAAGTAAATCTTGAGTTGGGCATTTATTTTCTGAATCTGCCATTGCGAAAGCACAGGCAGTAATAACAAACTTAACTCTTAGGGTAAGGTTGAAATTACATATGACATATGTAAAAGCACTGGAAAAACTACAGAGTTAATTCAATAAAGGAGACGTGAGAAGTAGTTATACCTAGGTGGTGCTTACATAGCTTAAGCTACCACAAATCAGTTTCTAAATGACTCCTGAATAAAATATGTCAGAACCATTAATACCTAGAATTTTGTATGCTTTGTTTTCAAGGAATTATTAGAGGAAAACAAATATAAAAAGTTGCCTTCAAAGAAACTCGATATTTGTAAAAGAACAAATGAAAAGATAATTACAAGTCAAAAGCAAGGTAATGTATCCTTAATAATTTTATAATAATAATTAGGTAATAGTTTGAAGGAATTTTAATGTAATAAAAGTAATCTTGTAAATTTTGTTTTAAAACATTGTTTTAACTATTTTAATGGTTAGAAATATTTTTGTTTGTTTTTAACATAGGATGGTTCCTATAATTAAAACAATCTATTATTCTAAGCACTAGCCTTATTTACAGGTTTGGGTCCTTTAATATAGGTCCGTAATAATTTTGTTTAAATCATAAAACATTTTTAAATGTTGTAATTCAGTATGATGATTGGTGTTATCATTTACAGTTTATAATCACAATTTGATAATTTAAAGTTAAAATTTCAGTTATTCTGGCTTATAGTATCTTAAGTTTCAAATTAATATACTTTGATTAATTTAATTTGCTTTCTTTAACTAGTTAGTTTTGTTGAGTTTATTCTGACTCATGGCAACCCTATGTGTACAGTATAGAACCGTTCCATAGGATTTTTAAGCATATCTCTAGGACTTTCTTCCAAGGTACTTCATAGTGAGTTCAAAGCACCACCCTTTCGGCTGGGAGTTAGAAACTTAAACACCACCCAGATCCTCTTTCTTTAACTAGTCACACATCATGTCAAAGATTTTCAAATTGTTCTATTTTGGTTGTTTTTCATGATGCTTCATAGAATTTTGGGAGATTCAGCAAAAGTGCTTCTTTGGCTGCCACTGGGGATGAGGATAGTGTCATGCAACTGGAATTCTATTTTCTATTAGTTCCTTAACTAGAAAAGGCTGTATTTGAGATATTACATACCTAATAAGGTTCTGGACTCCTGGTATGGCGCTGTAGGATCAGCCCTAGACTGCGAAACTACAAGTCGGCATTTTAAACCCACCAGCTGCTCCGTGGAAGCTCTGTACATGGTCGTTATGAGTTGGAATTGACTCGATTTAACAACAGTAAGGTTCTTGTGACATTAGTGGTTTTCTTATGTCTCCCTGTTGTTGTTGTTAGGTACCGTTGAGTCTATTCCAGCTCATAGCCACCCTATAAAACACTGCCGGCTCCTCCATCGTCTTCACAACTGCTGTTATGCCTGAGCCCATTACTGTTGCCACTGTGTCGATCCATTTCATTTTTTGCTGACCCTCCACTTTAACAAACCTGCTGTCTTTCTCCAGGAACTAGTCCTTCTTGATAGTATGTACATAGTATGAGATGAATTCTCTCCATCCTGGCTTCTAAGGAGCATTGTGGGTGTACTTCTTCCAAGATAATTTGTTCTTCTAGCTGTCCATGATTCTTTTAATATTTTTATCCAACACCATAATTTAAATGCATTGATTCTTCTATGGTCTTCCTTATTCATTGTGTTGCTTAGTTAACCTCCAAAGAGTTAATTTTAAAAAAATATTTATTTTGTATATGTTGGATATGTGTTGCATTAGGCCAATTTGCTGCACAATACCTCTTTCAAGTATTGAACAGCAAAGATGTCAATTTGAGGACTAAGGTGTACCTGACTCAAGGCATGGTATTTTCAGTAACCTCATTTGCATATAAAAGTTGGACTGTGAATAAGGAAAACTATAGACAAATTGATGCATTTGAGTTATGTTAGAGGAAAATAGCAAAAGTACCCTTGACTGCCAAAAGAACAAATTCATCTGTGTTGAAGAAGTACAGCCAGAATGTTCTTGGAAGCAAGGGTGGCCAGACTTCATCTCTCATTCATTGAACATATTATCAGGAGGGACCAGCCCCTGGAGAAGGATATCATGTTTGGTAAAGTGGAGGAAGGTCCCCAACGAGATGGATTATTAGCACAGTGGCAGCAGCAGTGGGCCCAGACTTAGCAATGCTTGTGAGGTTGGTATGCTACTGGGCGGTGTTTCGTTCTGTTGTGCATAGTGTTGCTGTGGGTCAGTGCTGACTCGCTGGCATCTAGCAACAACAACAGTTGGATATGTGAAGGCAGGTCCCCAGGTGACACAAATGGTTTGCACTTGACTGTTGACTAGAACTTTGGAGGTATGGAACCCACCCAGTCCTGGTGATCTGCTTTTGTAAAGATTAAAGTCAAGAAATCCCTTTGGAACTTGATTCTATTCTGTAACACATGGAGTGGCCATGAGCTGAAATTGACCCAACAGCAACAAGTTTGAGATTGAGTTTTTTGTGTGTGTTGTGATATATGTGAAAGGTTCTGTACCATCAAAAGAAATTCAGGCATGAAGAGAGAGGTTTTGCCATTCATGAATTTTTCTAATTTAATTGAAAGATAAGAAAGAGAACTATGCAATTTGAATACAGGTCACTTGGTCAAATATGCATTATTTAAGAATATTCTATAAACTTGAAGGAAGAACCAGCTTTCATTCACTTAAGGAAATGAGAACAAGTTTGTAGACTAGGTGGGTTTGAACAGGTAGTTTGGAAATGATTGCAGGAGATAGTCTCAATAGAGTGAGTAATATTAATTAAAGTCAATAATAAAGAAAATTTGAGAAATAGCATGTGGTCCAGTATACATAGATTTGGTTAAGGTCTGAATACAATGGGAAATTGGAATTATGTGGAAAGAAGGCCACGTAGAGGAGCTTATATGTATAACAGTAGACTGTAAGAAGTCATTGGCACATTTGCGTAAATAATAATAAATATTTATAATTGAAAAATCGATGATTTTAATAGAATTGTTCTTCAGGAAGATTAATATGTAAGTGTATCCAGTAGAGTTTATGAAAAAAAATAGTCACTGGTTTTTTAAAAAAATATTTTTAAACTTAAATTTGTAACTAATTTAAAATTTTTGTCTTGGTTTTGTTTTATGAAATTAAAGAAAGATCTGAAAACTCAAATACCTCCACTGATATTCTGACCTCAAGAGAACAGCTTTTCTCAGATGAAGAAAGAAAACTCATGGCTATCAATCATAAGAAGGCTTATATTTTATTAACGCCACTTAAATCAAAAGAAGTGATAGAACAAAAATGTATGAAGTATAATTTGTCTAGTAGTAACATTAAAACAATAACAAACTCTGCATTGCCAGAGCATCCAAAAGAAAATGAGTCAGACTTAAATAGAACTACAAGTTCCATCAGGAAGGCCACAAGGATTTTAGGAAATACATTTGAGTATAGTGTGGATCATAAAAGTGAAAACAGAAAAGATGTCAGTGAATGTGATGTACTCACTACTGTCAAGCAGAAAATAAGAATACCTACCCCTAAAAAGAAACAAATGGAGACCTGTAACTTTAAGAAAAATACAAGATTATCAACACTGAAAGAAACTGAAAATCAAGTAGCTATGCCATTTCACAAGCATCAGTTATCATTAGGTCTGTCTAGTGAAGAAAGTGAAACAGAGAAGAAAAGTAAAAAGAAAGTTAGGGTTGTTAGGAAAACCAAAGCAAGAAATACTAAAACAGTGGCCCACCTGAGAAAAAGCACAAGAAATACCACAAGCAACATCCCTGTGATTTCTGAATCTGAAACAGAAGAAAGTGAAAGTGAATATTACATCAAACAAAAGAAAATTGAATCTTCTGCTAACGAAACTGTTCAGAAATCTGATAGTAGGAATGAGTTTCCTGTTTTTGAGGCGATGGGATCTAATAAGACTTACAGAGTTCCCTCAGAATGTTTAGATGGTTTAACACAAGATGAAGAATGGAATGAGAAGGAGTTAGAAAAACTTAATCGGTAAGTTGTTGGTAAAATATCTGCAAGATGGCAACATAAAAATAGCAGTCGAGGATTGCTTTAATGACCTCTAACCAGGGTTGCTGCGGGAGAAAGATCAGGCTTTCTACTCCCGTAAAGATTTACACCCTCGGAAACCCTATACA